TTAAGCCCATTGCTTCTTGTCCTGTCCTCAGAGGTTAAGAAGAACAATCTTTCTCCCTCCTCCTTGAAACAACCTTTTATGTACTTGAAAAAGCTGTTATCATGTCCCTCTCAGTCTTCTCTTCTCCAGACTAAACAAACCCAATTTTTTCAATCTTCCCTCATAGATCATGTTTTCTAGACCTTTAATCATTTTTGTTGCTCTTCTCTGGACTTTCTCCAATTTGTCCACATCTTTCCTGAAATGTCCTATTTGTCCACATCTTTCCAGAACTGGACACAATACTCCAGCTGAGGCCTAATCAGCGCAGAGTAGAGTGGAAGAATTACTTCTCGTGTCTTGCTTACAATACTCCTGCTAATACATCCCAGAATGATGTTTGCTTTTTTTGCAACAGCGTTACACTGTTGACTGATATTTAGCTTGTGATCTACTATGACCCTCAGATCCCTTTCTGCAGCACTCCTTCCTAGGCAGTCATTTCCCATTTTGTATGTGTGCAACCAATTGTTCCTTCCTAAGTGGAGTACTTTGCATTTGTCCTTAGTGAATTTCATCCTATTTATTTCAGACTATTTCTCCAGTTTGTCCAGATCATTTTGAATTTTAATCCTATCCTCCAAAACATTTGCAACCCCTCCCAACTTGGTATTGTCCGCAAATTTTATAAGTGTACTTTCTATGCCATTATCTAAATCATTGATGAAGATATTGAACAGAACCAGATCCAGAACTGATCCCTGTGGGACCCCACTTGTTATGCCCTTCCAGCAAGACTGTGAACCACTGATAACTACTCTCTGGGAATGATTTTCCAACCAGTTATGCACCCACCTTATAGTAGCTCCATCTAGGTTGCATTTCCCTAGTTTGTTTATGAGGTCATGTGAGACAGTATCAAAAGCCTTACTAAAGTCGAGATATACCACATCTACCACTTCCCCCCATCCACAAGACTTGTTACCCTGTCAAAGAAAGCTATCAGGTTGGTTTGACACGATTTGTTCTTGACGAATCCATGCTGACTGTTATTTATCACCTTATTATCTTCTAGGTGTTTGCAAATGGGTTGCTTAATAATAAATAATTATTATAAAGAATATACAGCTTTATAAACTTCATGACAGATTCTTTTATGCTAAAACTAATAAAAATTTGTACTTATGTGGGGATAGAATGTAACTTTAAAATCTGCCCTGAGCAGTGGATAGCGCATAGCTATTGTGCCCCAGGAGCAGAGACCTCCAATTCCTCCCCTGCTCCCCCTTGCTTGGAGAGGATGCTGCTCATTGAAAGATGTTAGCCTTCCATAGACTAGCTTGCTCCCTGCTGTGCACCCAGCCAGCTTGCGTAGCCGGCAATTTAGAGGGGGACAAGACTAGGGCTCCTTCAACTCCCTACCCACTTGCTTACAGGGTGAGGAGTAGTTCCTGAGTTCCCTGACCCCTGAAATCAGAGTCACAACTGAAGCAGGGCCAGGCAGGGAGGTGAACGGGGCTTTACTTTCCTGCCTGGCCAAGGGCTGACACTCCAGTAACAGAGTTAAAGGGGAGCTTCCTTTTCTCCTCTTGCAGTTTCTAGGGGCTAGGACATAGGGGAGAAGAGATATGTGGCTATTGTGGTGGAAGGAACTGGTGGTGGTGTGGGTGAGGAATAACTGTATTGCCAGTCACAAGCATTCAAAAATCGTGACTCAGACTACCAAATAGCAAACTTGCTTAAAAATCATAAGACTTCAATAAAAATAATAAATCTCAGGTTGTTTTCCATTGGTCTTCAGATTTTTGAGCCTTTAGAGGGAAGTCTTCTGCTTCCATTGATCACTTCAGGTTCACAATTTAATCTTAAATACACAAACACAAACCTCTCAACGGGGAACTTGGAGGAGATTCCACTTACCCTTACCTATCCCCGAAGGAGGAGTAGCTGCCATTATACCCTCCATCCCCCTTCCCTATCACTCTCCTATCTACTTCTTGTTCTTCTCTGCCCCATTCACACTCTCTCTCTGTTCTTCCATCCTCCTCGGATTCCCCCATATTTGCCATCCCTCTTCTCCTGCCCTTCACATTATTCCTCCTACCTTTGCTAATCCCATCTTCTCAGGCTCCCTTTTGCATAGCTTCCCCAGCCAGTTTTCTATTCCTGCCCTCCACATTTCCCCACACACATACATTCCAGTTTTTGCCTCATGCCCTCCCACATTCATTTACTTCTCACAATGCCATTGTCTCCTTTTTGATAGGCATAGGTGGCCTCCATCTTCCCTAAGGGTAGCTTGGATTCACTCCTGTTGGGAACAACAGGAGTCAGAGGCCATCATTGCTAAGGGCAGCCTAAGTTTCCTGTTGCACAGGCTGTAATGAAATCATGGTCATCTCAGCTGAGGGCAGCCTGTAGCATTAATCTGAGAACAATGGGAGATGACGGCCATTTTGAAATAGGGAAATTTTTTGTTTTCTCAAGGAGAAAAATGTGTGTCCACCATGTTTTGAAGAATAAGAGCAAAAACATTATGCTTTATCCTAAATATTTAGTACCACAGAACATCCGACAATACCAGATATAGTTAAGGTTCACCTCTGTGCCAATATCTGTTGTGTAGATACAAAATGCTGTTTTAAACATACATACACACAATAAAATGTTAGAAACCCTGACAGATTTCAGCCAAAGACCAATTTCTTCCAATTACAAATGTATTTAAAAAACATTAAACGACTTAGAAAATTCAAAGGGCATCAAAACTAAACTGCTTGTAGAGAAAACATGAGTGTATTTCCTATTTTAAGCCCATAGCAGAATACAGCTTTCAGTGTGGAATCATACCAGTACTTCCTCTTTTTTTTAAATGTTCAAAAATATGCATGGAAATTCTTAACCACATGTGAAAGGTACAAATATGAAAACAGTTTAAAAAGCCTAACTCCAATAAATAGCTTTTTAAAAGTTTTAACAAGATGCTAAACCTCCATTCTGTCATTAAGCTTATTTTCATTTTTATTCTAAACTCATCCATTTATAATTTATTTACCTTTGGAATAAAAGTATAATAGTCTTGTGCGCCTCATAAGAATGATTACGTTTCAAATCACTAGCAGAAGATTGAAATTTTAATCATCTCATTGATGGCATTCATTTTCACTCATTTTCATTCATTTTAAGGAACACTTAAAGTCATTGTGGCTTTGCCTCATACTTTTCCCTCTTTTTTACTGAGAACTAAAAATAATATCCTCATACTTGTCTATTACAGCTCCACTTGTTTATCCATTAATAGTTTAACCCTGCCTCAAGCACTCAATAAACAACCAGGTCTTCCTCATTCTTTTGGAAAAGGAACTGGAAGCTATGGTTATTTCTAAATGTTGCCACCTCTTCATCATCTGTGTTGACATCTTATTACTGTGTGCCTTGGTTTTATGCAGCTCTTCTCTCTTTGCTACAGAGGTAATTTACTTTAGTTTTTAGAAAATGGTACACACATAATGTAACGGGCAACAGCCATTACTGCACATTGACATAAGATACCTTAAGAACCCATCTAATAAATAAGTATCAGTGCTTTTCCACCATTTTGCTAAGAGGTTCAGGCTGAAAATAAATCAATCCACTCAGCACTTTATGGCAAGAAAGAGTTTTGTTTTGACAGTTGTAAAACACGTTTTTACAAGGCTGAAGCACATCTAGGTATTTTCTCTGGCAGTGGCTTGCATACATACTACATTTCACAATGCACTATAAAGTAACCAGTGAAATGTACAAATAGACTTTTCCCTCCCCAAACCAACTGCATTAAAAGACTCAGACTGAGCATTTGTCCTACCTACTAGATCCAGGATTCTTCGGGTTTTTGAGGTGGGGAGAAATGACTTGGTAGAGCTAATCTAGTCCATATTTAGTAAATTAGCAATCTTTCCAAACAGAAATTGCCTTAGATTGGATTATACCACAAACTATTCATGAGAAACTCTAACTTTCAAACAAGGCTCTGTCTGTTCTTTATCAAGTTTTAAATGTACTGTAATTATTTCAGAGAGCAGAGCTCTCTCTGGATAGAATAATTAAGAAGAAAACATTTTAAATGCAGTTCAGTACTTTTGAAAATAACATTGAAAAATAATGCACATTTTGAAATTTTCAAACTTTTAATGGTTAACATTGATTCCAGTTCCCAGAAATACTTTGATTGTGAGCTTCATAATTTACATCTAATGGTATTAAAATTATAGTCATTAATAGCTATTATACAAAATATAATATTTATGCAGAAATCAATACAGAGTCAAGTGTTTACTTTAGAGTAAACCCACCTTGTCATAGTGTAGAGAGCCTGTTTTGTTAATTATTTGTCAGAAGATGTTGACAGAACATGTTTGATCATGTCTCTCAGTAGTAGGTGTTTTAAAAATATTTCCAATTCCATTTATTGGGAGCTTGATTTCATTTCTTTTCTTTCCATAAACCAATTGCATTGCAAGCCACAACACAATCAATCAGACCGCATCATAAACATGTCAACAACTAATGCAGTGCATAGAGCAATCTCACCTTTATTAATCTAGGCTGCAAAAAACCCAGATAGCTTAAGTACAGCAAATATATATATATTTTATTCAAGTCATATGTATCTTGTAAAAAGACAGCTCTAAATGAACTTTATACATCTGGGTCTACCAAAAGCTTGCAAAATATGCTGCAGTACACTTTGCCTGCCTGCTCTCTCGCTTTTATATGACTTTTTCACACTGCAAAGATAACCAAATAATGGAGAGCAAAGCCAGCATACACAGTAGAATACACAACCCATTAAAGTTATGATTATGCATCACAATCGAAACTTCAACATAACCATGTTATAAATTGTAAGAGTGACTTTCCAAGTCCAAACCAATAGAATGCAAATGTGAACTTATATAGGACTTTTCATCTGAGAATCTCAAGTGCTTTATAAACAATTACACCCCAGTACAACTCTGCTAAGTAGTTATGTATTCATTGCCAGGTTAATAATTGGACAACTGTGGCACTTTTTCATGTTGGCAAAACATTCCCCTTCCCCCCGCTCACAAATTCCTGACTTGCCTGTGCACATTGAGCAGTGTGTAAGCTGAGTGGTGGGCCAGGGAACAGATGAGTGCTCTTTGCTGCTCTCTGGCTATGTGGTGGCTTGCCGCTTACAATGAGCCAAAATCCTTCGTGGAAATGTTAGCTGGAGGATACTAATGTATGTTATAGAACAGACCAGGTCAGAAAAACTTTGATGTAACCATTTAATATTTCAACGTTTTAAAAATGTTATAGTCATTTCAAAACAAAGGAGTCCTGACAATATCAAAATGTCTCATTTTGACTTTTTCAGAACAAAACATTTCCATTTTTTGTTTTGAAATGACTATGAAATGTTAAATATATCAAATTTTAAATGGTGAAATCAAAATGAAACATTTTGATGTCACAATGAAACATTTTAATTGACGCAAAGCAATTTTTCCCCAGAATTTTCTTTTACAGAGAATTTTAAAATGTTCAGTTTTTGCTTCTAACCAGAACAAAGAAACGTTGAAGTCTCTGAATCCTTTGTAAAGCAGAATTTCCATCCTGTGCACAGCTCTAATATGGAGGTATTCTTCTTGACTGCTGCCATCAGGGAAGAAGCTCTCAATATACTTCTCTTCCCCTTCTTTTACACCAGATCTTCACAGGACAGGATTGAGCTGTAAGTGCACTCACAATTTCTGTTTATTTGAGTGGGCATTATGGGTGTTCAGCACCTCTGAAAATTGGGCCTGAAGCATCCTATTTTACACATAGGTTATTTATATTTTTTGTTGTTGCAGTTTTAAAGTCCACTACTTTGTAATTTGTCAAAATTTGACAGATGGATTTTAGTTATTTTCTAAAATAAAGCTCTCAGCCTTTTAAGGTCAGTTTCAGCAATAAATTGTCTTTTTTCAAGCCAGCCATGGGAGTTAAGAACCAATGAGGACAAATGTCAGTAGTTACAGAAACTGCTCTGCCAGAGCTAGATTAAATTGGTATATTATTATTTTTGAAAATGAATCAACTACTGTAAGTCAATAGCAGTTTCTCTACCCCGCACTTATGCACATATCAGATTCATAACTAGCTGACTATACAATGAAACAGTACTTAGCTTCAAATTAAACCTCATTATAATCACATACATTCTCTTTTTGTAGAGACTGTCAGCTTTAATAAATACATGCACCAAGTGCTTCTTTTCTCTAAACATGTCATCTTTACTGTATCCAGTGATGGGTCTTTAATGTTGTCCAGCAGATTTATGGTTTAACAATTAGTTAATATAATCAAGAGCTGAATTATTGTATAAAATGCCCAAGTTGGGAAGAAAGATGAGTTCATTTTAAATGGGTTAACACCTTAATATAAGAACTCAAATGGCAAAGGGAAACATGCTCAGGCTGCTTAATACACCAGTCTATTTTTGTTTTGTTTTTTAAATTCAAAGTACTCTCATACGGTATATTTTATTGTAAACCATTCTATCACATATTTATGTCAGAAATAGTCATGTCTAGCACTCAATAATATATTTACAACACAAATCCAAAATGTAACTTTGATCATGAATATTCAATGAGAATGATTGTGAAGTGAAGAATTTTTGTTTGAAACTATTGGGGTTGGAAGAGCCTTAAGAGGAAGAAATATAGCTGAAAACAGCTCACTGAAAATTATCACACTAGCAATTAAACTTTTGTACTAGGCTAACCCAAAAGTGCTACAACCAGAAGATACCCAAAGAACACTTAAAGTGGAGGGAACAGGTCAGCTTGATTGCAATAATATTCTTATGTACACATGCCCAGATCATATCTTGCAACTCATCATTACAGCAGCAACAAACAAGCTGGGGGAAGGGGACAAGAACATACCAATCTTTGATGTGATCCCACATATCATTTTCCCTAGCATCCTATGATAAACAACACAAAATCAGCCAAGAAATAAAATTTTATTTTTATAAAACAATACTGTTTCGAATATCTACTATATATTTCCACACACACAAAATTTACATGTATATATGTGAGGCTCATGTCTTTCTTGGTACAGATATTATAAATTGTGGTTTTGGTGAGTAAATGATCTATGGGTGTTTTTTTTTTTTTTTTTTTTAATTTCATACTGATTCTAGGTGTTTCTGGGGCCCAAGGTGATCCACTCCTTCTTCTTTTTTTCTGCACAGAATTCCCACCCTCTTTGTTTAGATAGTGTTAACATCAGCAGCTGGCTGCAGCTACAGCACCTAGCATAGCAGAGGCTGCCTAAAGAACAGAGAGAAAGGTGCTGTGGAGAAATTGGGTCTATATTACAGTGTGAAATATTTGATCAAATTCCAGACTTAGACAAGTTTAGGCTTGTTTTACATGTAAAAATTATCAGATTAATATCACTGGGTTGAACCACCTCTGCCATATTTTTTTTGTATCTATCAGCCGTTTAAAATGTGAGGAATAAGCCACTGTGAATAGAATGCTTGAAGACAATGAAAATACATAATGACTTCTATGCAAAATGGACATTGTAAAAAATGCAGAATGTCAACTATGAAACTATTTAAAAAAGACACTGGCAAAGAGTGCTGTGTTTATCATGTCGCTTGGCATATCAAAATACACAATTAGTGTCACCCGCTCAGGCAAAAAATGTCAACAAAGACAGAATTTTGCAAGTGTTCATACATCTTATTTGGTTTCCTTGCCCTTATTTCAATGAGAAGTGCTGCCAATAGGAATGAGTTCTAATTACCTGGTTTCTTCCCTTGCATTTGTTGAACTGTAGACTAGTGGTCATATGATTCAGAAGAGTGCTAGATATGTGAAACTGACTAAAGAGGCAGTTAATTTAGTAAATATTTGAGACAGACTAGTTTAAATATGTTGCAAGACTGCTGGATGCTAGAAACACCCAACAGTATAAATCCATGCCACATCCTATTATTATTCTCTGAGCAGCCTGTGTTTGGTCTAGACTCAAGAGGGATCTTCTCAAGAATAGAGCTACTAAATTGCAGCAATATATTTTCATCTTTCATATATCAGCATTGTGTTAACATCACAAAGAAGATTACTTATTCATTATAAAGATATTAAAGTGCTCTAAACCCTCCTTTACCTCAAGGCTGTTGACATATTATTTTCTAAGAGAAAATAAATTTAGAAAGCTATTTAAAATCACTGTCACCTCTTGGTAATAAATGCTTTACATTGATTGGTTCTTTTATACCCACTGGCCCCAGTTCTTGGATGCATTGCAGTCACTTTGTGTTGTTCCAGCAGTTAAAAACAGCCATAAACCTGGCTGATCTTACCAGTGGAGGATCTCCCTAATGGGTTATGCCCCTATATACTAGCAATCCCTGATCTGCCCCTTGGAGGCTGTTGTCAGCCAGTGTAAATAAAATAGAGCAGGCTTGTCTACTTTAATCTAAGGATATGACTGGATGGTCTCAAACTTGGAGAGGAAAAGGGTGGCTTACAGGCATCTCTGCCCAGAGTTCTTCCTTATCTGTCACCTTTGCTGTCACTCCTGAGTGCAGCTTGAATGCTGCCCACATTTGGGATGCCCCATATCTGAACCTAGAAAATTGAATGGTATTCAGAATATCAGTGGTACAACATTTGACTATTCCTGACGAAACTTGACTTACTAGATGCTCCTATGCTGTTTGGGAGTTCGGGAGTTAAAATGCGTTCAATGAAGCAGATGAGTTCCACTCCACTTCCTTGTGCACAGTGAATTTCATGGGACTTTGGTCCTGTCCTGTTTAGAGAAGCTCCCTGCTAGGAATATCTTATCCATCTGTTAATATTATGTTCTTATCAATTCCTTCTGCCAGATGACTGGAAGAGGGAGACTTTGGCTCTCTGAGGGAACTACACTATGCATCTATGGATTAAACAGTAAACGTCTTACCTAGAAGAGTTTATTATAATAAGTTTGCTTTTTGTCAAGGGTTTCCAAGATTCCTTGAGCCCAGTTCACCTCTCCTTTACATGGATGCAACTCCATTGATCTCAATGGAGTTACTCCTCATTTACATCAGCGTGAGTGAGAGCAGAATCAGGTCCCCTTTTTCTGCAGTTTGAATGGTATTTCTCTTTGAATGCATTTCAAAAGGCGTTGCAGTTTGTTAACGGTTTTCTGAGCTTTGCTCTTTGGAATGAAATGAATAAAAAGTACCCTTGCTTGACCCTGATGGGCCTCTCAGGCTTTGCCATTTTTCTTTAAGATTTTGTAATTTTTATGCAAATGGAGCAAAACCTATGCTTCCCCTCTCCATAAGCATGGAGCACTATCTGCAGGGAAACCAATGAGGTTCTCCTGAGTAGCAGACCCATGCTTAACTCTTTATAGCACAGATCCTTAAATGCAGAAAGATATTAGGGTGAGGCTGGTTGATTCACAACTACCGGGTATATCTCTCACACTCTGGCCTGGTCTGCACTACAAACTTAGGTAGACATAAGTCACGTTATGTCTATCTAATAATGTATGTGTCTACACTACTGAGTCCCTTCCACTGACCTAAGTGGCCTGTGAAGTAAATTCTGTACTCCACCTCGGCGAGAGGCGTACCACTTGATTCCACATCCACGGGTTCACATGGGGATAATGTAGACACTGCATTGTGTAATTCGAATGAATTGGCCTCCAGGAGGTGTCCCACAGTGCTCTGCTGTGACCGCTCTGGAGCCCTTTCACAGGACCAGTTGGTGGCAGAGCGTGATGCCGAGGAAGGCATCTCTGGGGAGTGCACATTGCCAATCAGACTGTAGGGGTTACATGCTATTTTTTTTAATGTTTAATCTGAACAAAAAAGTAGATGTAATGGGTATCAGTGGCCACTCCAGCTATGCAGAGGGTGCTCTCCTAAAAAGACTGTTTATCTGCACGGGGATGGCCTGGGAATCCTCCACAGATATCTTTAGGAAGCTTCATGGAGGTCCTCTGCAATCCTTTGCAGAAGGTTTCTGGGAGGGGCTGCCTTATTTCGTCCAACCCGGTGGGACACTTTCCCGCGCCACTTCAGTATTAACTGCTGGCATCATTGCAGCACACAGCATTGCAGAATAAGGACCAGGTCTGTACCCAGACGCTTGCAGCATCTGCTCCCTTGCTACCTCTGTTACTCTCAGGAGAGTGATATCGCATAGGCTCATCTAGGGGAAATGAGGGAAGTTTTCAGTGCTAGCCCTTAAGATGCAAACAATTCAACAAGTAAGCCATCCCACCCCACCCTCCCGTTCGGTGAAATCTGGTTCACATAACCATGCTTTCCCAAATGTGCCATGCCTATGGTTGGACGGGATCACTGTGTATTGCAAGCAGCATTGAAAAAAAAAAGCGGGGGAGGGAGACTTCCTGTTTGTGTCTCCCCTCCTCCCCCCAGTGCTGCTTTTGTAAAAAAAAAAACTATTGGGAGGGCTTTACACTGGTGCCTGTCCTCAAACACCATCCAGGTTGATAGGGGAAAGGAGGCTTTTTTTCAAATTCCAACCTGAGATCTCAAGGATATCTTCACAAAAGCAGAGGCACAAGACCTCTCGCCCATGCCTCGTGGCCTTACTGACCATGGCTGGAGCAGCAAACTGACTCTTGCAATAGCCAGTGGTTGTGATGACATTGTGGCTTGTGGTGAAGTGTATTGAGGCGTGGTTTTTTTAATAAAAAAAATTAACCTTGCACCAGAAACAATGTATGCACTGTCAGTGCTATCCTTGTGCTTTGCATTCCTTGCAGCTGAAACCTTGCCCGTTGGCACATTCTTCACACCAGGACAGAGACTTTCCCAGATTAGAAGGTGGAAAAAGAAGACTTGGGAGGACATGTTCAGTGAGTTAATGCATGCCTCCAAGAGTGACAAGATGGAGCTCAGAGCATGGAGGATTACACTGTCCAAGAACCTAGACATGGACAGGGAGGACAGGAGAGCATGCAGGGAACAAGAGCATGCTATGCAGGAAGATATGATGCGGATTATGAAGGAGCAATCAGACATGTTGAGGCATCTGGTTGAGGTTCAAGGAAGGCAGCTGGATGCTAGAGTCCCTCTGCAGCCTATGCTAAACCTGCTGCCATCACCGCCAAGTTCTGCATCCTCCTCCCCAAAACATCCTATGAGGTGTGTGTGCATGGGGGGGAAGGTGGGAAATTGGTATCCCTTGCACTCAACACCAGGGGAGGGTACAAGGACCAGAAGGTGACCATTCCCACATCTGTGATTGTTATTGCAGTGCACCTGTAAGTAAGCTTTCCTTGTTTCTCCCCCCACAGAGTTATAAGTCCTTTTGCCCCAGGTTATCTTACTTTTCCTTGGTGTCACATTACTCTGGCTCATTGCTGAAACTGGTTTTCAAAGCCTCACGGAGATGCAGAGCCCCTCGATGTGCTCTTCTTATTGCCCTGGTGTCTGGCTGCTCAAAATTGGCTGCCAGGCAATCTCCCTCAACTGCCCCACACCTCGGCAGAAACTTTTCTCCCTTTGTTTCACAGATATTATGGAGCACACAGCAGACAGTAATAACAATGGGGATATTGCTTTCACTGAGGTCTAACCTAGTAAGCAAACAGTGCCAGTGACCTTTTAACTGTCCAAAGGCACATTCTACCACCATTCTGCATTTGCTCAGCCTATGGTTGAACTGGTCCTTACTGCTGCCCAGGCTGCTGGTATACAGCTTCATGAGCCCTGGGAGCAAGGAGTAGGCTGGGTCTCCCAGGATCACGATTGGCATTTCAACATCACCAATGGTTATTTTGCAGTCTGGAAAGAAAGTCCCTGCTTGCAGCTTTCTGAACAGACCTGTGTTCCTAAAGATGCTTGCATCATGCACCTTTCCCAACCATCCCACGTTGATGTCGGTAAAATGGCCCCTGTGATCCAACAGCACTTGCAACACTACTGAGAAGTACCCCTTTAGTTTATGTACTCCTTGGCAAGGTGGTCTGGTGACAAGATAGGGATGTGCGTTCCATCTATCACCCCACCGCAATTAGGGAACCCGATCACAGCAAAGCCATCCAGTATGTCCTGCATGTTGCCCAGAGTCACTACCCTTCTTAGCAGAAGTCTGTTAATGGCCCTGCAAACTTGGATCACAACAGATCCCATGGTAGATTTATCCACTCCAAATTGGTGCCCTACTGATTGGTAGCAGTCTGGTGTTGCAAGCTCCCACAGAGCTATCACCACTCGCTTCTGGACTGTCAGAGCAACTCTCATTTTAGTATTGCTGCGCTTCAGGGCCAGGGAAAGCTCTTCATACAGTTCATGGAAAGTGGCCTTACACATTCGAAAGTTCTACAGCCATTGCTCATCATCCCACAGCTGCATAACGATGTAGTCCCACCAGTCAGTGCTTGTTTCCTGGGCCCAGAAATGGTGCTCAACCATGTGAAGGGGATGTGTGACTGTTGCCAGCAACTACAAATTGCTTTGCTCTACGTCTCCCAGCAGGGCTGCTTGCATGGCATTACATTGTTCTGTGAGGCGGCTCCTGTATCGGCTGTGTCAATAAGCAGGATAAGGCACAAGGTGCTTGTAATGCTCACAACAACAGTGTACAGCTGAACAGGGCCCATGCTTATCGTGCTATGGCATTTGCATGGGTAACCCAGGGTTATGAAAAAAGGCACAAAAAAGGCTTGGTTTGTTTGCCATTGATATCAGGGAGGGAAGGAGGAATGGAGGTAAGTGTATCCTGGGAGGCTAACGCCATGTTCCCATAACCACCTGCACCGATGTTTGGGTCCCATAAGGCATTGTAAGCCCAACCCAAAATTCCATTCAGCTACATGCCCTGTGGGATAGCTACCCACAGTGCAGTGCTCCGTGCCTTGATGCAAGCCCTGCCAGTGAGGATGCATTCCACTGACGCAATGAGCATAGTGTGGACACACAAGATTGACTTGCTTAAATCGGAGGCTCAATGTCGACTTACATGAAGTCAACTTAACTTTGTACTGTAGACATGGCCTATATAGTAGGGGCATAGGAACTAAAGGTGCAGCTGCTGCCTATCAATCCTCAGTTCTCTCTCTTTTTGCATCAAGGGTCTCAGGAACAGTTTTTCTCCTCTCAGCACCCACTGTTTCCTTTACATAAGTCTTCCCTCAAACCTGTCTCCTCTGACAGCCTATTCTCTCCCTCTCCTTTAAACCACTTTTTTTAAACATCTGTACCCCATTTCTCTCTCTCCACCAGGCCACATCTACCTTGGTTTATCTGTAACACCTATCTAGACTCTTCAAGTCTCTCTTCATGTCCTCCATCTTTTTCTGCTCCAAAACTTACCTCTTCCCCATAATTGTTTCTCTGCTCCTCTTCCTCCTCCACTCTTTTGTGCAATGAGAGATACTATGATTTTTTTTTTCATAGGTAGGGGAATTTCCAGAATGGGAGAATGCAATTGTTGTAACAGTCTGTATCATAAACGACGTCTTTCTATCCCTCCTCTCATTCCTCTTTCCTGAATAAATTGTGAGACTTGTTCATGTGTGTCTGATACTCTTGTCTTCCAAAAGCTGCAGACACTATCGGCCCATACCAGAGATGGGCAAACTACGGCCCGTGGGCCACATCCAGCCTGCGGGACCCTCCTGCCCGGCCCCTGAGCTCCTGGCCTGGGAGGCTCGCCCCCAGCCCCTTCCCTGCTGTTCCCCCTCCCCTGCAGCCTCACCTCACCGTGCCCCCGGTGCCATGCTCTGGGCGCCGAGCTCCTGGGGCAACGCAGCTGCAGAGCCGTGGCCTGACCTGGTGCTCTGTGCTGCGCTGTGTCTAGCTGGCTCCAGGCAGCGCGGTAAGCGGGCAGGGAGCAGGGGGGTTGGATAGAGGGCAGGGGAGTTTGGGGGCGGGAGTGTGGATAGGGGTCAGGGCGGTCAGAAGGCGGGGAACAGAGGGGTTGATTGGAGGCTGGAGTTCCAGGGGGGCAGTCAGGAAGGAGGGGGGGTTGGATGGGGCGGTGGGGAGCAATCAGGGGTACGCGTTCCGGGGGCGGTCAGGGACAAGGGGTGGTTGGATTGGGCAGGGGTCGTGGGGGGGCCATCAGGGGGCAAGAAGCCGGGGGGGGGGGGGGTTGGATAGGGGGTGAGGGCTGGGCCACGCCTGGCTGTTTGGGGAGACACAGCCTCCCCTAACCGGCCCTCCATACAATTTTGGAAAACCGCTGTGGCCCTCAGGCCAAAAAGTTTGCCTGCCCCTGGCCCAGACGTTTATATAAAAGATATATGTTTCACAGGTTTACAATGTTGGTGAAGATTAAATAAATAAATGGAGCAATGACCAGACAAAAAATCCTACCCTCAGATGCATGGAACAACTGAAGTCAATTACTACATTCACCTACATCTTTAAAAGCAGGAGCAAGTGCCCCCCATATCCCCCATTTATATATGCATGTAAAATAATCCAATTGGAAACATGTATACAATATACTTGGACTTAAAGACAAGACCTTACCCATGATTCAATCTGGCTTTACAGATAAAGCAGTTTTCTAGTCCTGCCTTATGATTAATCAGGACTTATGGCTATTTTAGTAATTAATTCCCCCCACAATGTCATTTAGTATTTTTGTATAACTGCAGTGTGATGTTCAATAACCTTGCCTGGTAGTTTTCCCCACCACATATCTAATATTCCGTGCATGAAAAAGTGCATTTATCTCTCTCGTCTTATTCTTCCTTCTAGACTGAACATATTAACTCTCGGTGGCATGACTGATACCATGGGAGGTTTTAAAAATGCTGGATACTTTTTTTTTTTTTAATGCTTCAGATTATGTAATTGCTTCAAAGAGGTGGGCAAACTACGGCCTGCGGGACCGTCCTCCAGGAGGCTAGCCCCCGCCCCCCCGCTATTCCCCTTCCCCTGCAGCCTCAGCTCACTGCCCCACCGGCGCAATGCTCTGGACGGCGGGGCTGCGAGCTCCTGGGGCAGCGCAGTGGCAGAGCCGGGGCCTGACCCGGGTGCTCTGCGCGGCGTGGCTGCCTGTCCTGATGCAGCTGCGCTGCCAGCCACTGGTGCTCCAGGCAGCGCGGTAAGGGGGTAGGGAGCAGGGAGGGGTTGGATAGAGGGCAGGGGAGTTTGAGCAGGTGGTCAGGGGGGCGGGGGTGTGGATAGGGGTCAGGGCAGTCAGAGGGCAGGGAACAGGGTGGTTGAGTGGGGGCAGGGGTCCCGGGGAGGGCAGTCTGGAAGGAGGGGGGGTTGGATGGGGCGGCAGGGGGCAGTGAGGGGCGGGGATCCGGGGGTGGTCAAGGAGAAGGGGTGGTTGGATGGGGCAGGCGTCCCGCCAGGGGGCAGTCAGGAAGGAGAGGGGGGAGTTGGATGGGGCAGTGGGGGGCAGTTAGGGGTGGGGGGTCAGGGAGCAGTCAGGAGACAGAGAGCGGGGGGTGGATGGGGCAGGGGTCCTTGTGGGGCCGTCAGGGAACAGGGGGGTTGGATGGGGCAGGAGTCCCAGGGGGGTGGCTGTCAGGGGGCGAGAAGAAGGGGGGGTCTGATGGGGGTGGGGGCTGGGCCATGCCTGGCTGTTTGGGGAGGCACAGCCTCCCTAACCGGCCCTCCATACAATTTCAGAAACCTGATGCGGCCCTCAGGCCCCTGAGCAAGATGGACTGCCATTGATTCAACTTCTCAGTTTATACTTTTTGGTGTTGAGATCAATCATGTTGAAATTCCCTTGGTCTTTTAAAGTGACATCTTTAGGCAGCAACCAGAACAAAATGCAATGGGCCTAATTCTCCTCTGCTTTGGCCTTCCTGTAGTCATTTACACCTATGTGAAAAGTGAGCTTAAAACACTATCCCACTTTTCAGACACCCAGCACAGGAAAAGGTAACTATGTAGGGTAGTGGAGAATTAGCTCCAGTGATCTTTAGTAAGACTTACCAAAGGCATAAATCCAATAGTAGGGCCTCCACAAATGTACAAGTCCTAGAGCTTAGATGTATACCATTTACCAGCTTTGCTCTAACAATTAGCATAAGCACTATGGTTTCGTGTTATGCCAATCTCATTATAATCAGTTTCTCACCAACATGGCACTATCATTTCAATGCATGTAGCCAAGTATGAGGATTCTGACCACTACAGGGGAAGTGGCTGAATGGGGTACCTTTCCCATAATAGCTCACTCTACCCTGGTGAACAAGGGTGAGGTCTTATGCTCAGATACTACGGTGGTGGAGGCTATACAAGCACATGGAGGAACACAGGAATAGATCAAGCATATGTGGAGGTTAACAATTGATATGTTATGGTCCCTGGCCTGTACTAAGGGGGTCATTCAAGTTTACACTCTGACAACTAATGCGAGGCTGTTTGCAGTTTACAGACTAGTATGTAGAAATTTCTCTAGGATCATGAGGTTCTGTAGTAGAGCATTAGATGAGAGGTTGAGGTACAGGGACCAAGGTAAGGATGGCACTGAAATCTTAATTTATTATCTCCCAATCTTGACATTTAGGTTTTTATAACTACAATCATTTTAATAATGCTGTTTTAAATAGATTTATCTATGTGCTTATATATGGCCCCATCTAGATACCTATTTATAACTCTGACTATGTTAAAGATTTTATCTCAATTTTTTTTTAATGTTCTGTTGTACCATTTCTGGTTCCTCCTAACACTATTTTAATTGCCAATTACTGGTCATTCACATAAATCACATCATATTGCTTCTGTTTCCTGATTGGCTAGCATGAATGACTAACATACACAGAGTGAAACTTTAATGTTGTAACTGAAAATACAATTTGAAATTAACTTTCCCCAAATAATGAAGCTTAAAATTCTCTACTAGTTATGTTCATCTGCTGTTAAAAAGTGAAAGAGTCATAAATACATCTGAACTGAAATTCATTTAATGTCTGAACTAATTCTCAGGATCAGATTCCCTCCCCTGTTTTCCCCACTCCCTCCACTATTCATTTACCTCTAGAAAAGAATGAAGAAAAAACATATTACTCTATATACTTGTGTACACCCTGATTTAGGTGTACAAATAATTTTAAAATATTCTTAGACCCATATATATGCT